AGCTATTTATATTCTTGAATTGATGATAGCAAAATTATTCAAAGAATTATATACTAACTTTTTTATATATATCTGAATTAAGGAATCCTCTTACTGAACTTAAAAAATAATTCTTAAATAGCTTCTAACATCTTTTCAAATTTTGTGTTAAGATATATTTACTTTTATATATATACCTAAGTATAGATGAGAGACGAAACCCCTTAATAACAGTCAAAACTTAGACGAAATTATATTAAAATTATAATAAGGGATATGATGAAACCCATTTGATATGATAAAGTCAAAACTGTCAAAACTATATTAAAAACATAGAAAAGAGTATGACGAAATTATTTTGAGAAGATTTCGGTAGGCATCTATATACCTAAGTTAAGAATCTTTTCACTAGACTCCAAAAATAGTTCTTAAATAGCTTTTAACATTTTTTAAGATTTCTATAAGTATCTTAAAAAAGTAACTTTAATGTTTACATGTTTGATAATTTATGTTTAAGAAGTTGAAATAATATGAGACAAATATTTTCTTTATAAATTAATTTGTTTTAATTATCAAAGGATGCTTAATAGTTATATTTAATTAATTTTGTGCAAATTAGTGAAAATTATGTAATAATAGCATTATATTTACAATAAAAGTACTAAGAAATATTTTTATTAGAATATTACTGTGCTTGTATGCAAAAAAAGGTTAAAATTCTCATAAAACTTTGCTGTGTTGCAGAATAAAACTTAGTTTTTTATATATTTGACAATATTATACTAGTTACACAAATTAACCAGAAATTAAACTGATCTATTATTTTGGATAATAGTTTACCTGTTGTAGAATCAAATATTCACAAACTATTTTCACGTGATATTTTAAATAAATAATCAAAAAAAGATTTAATTAAACAAAAAAATATAATAAATAAATATTTAAATAGAATAACTATTTCTAATTGATAAATTATTTAATAAAGGATGATTAATTTTCAAATAAGAATAACAAAAAGAATTTTAAAAAGAAAATATGATATCATAAATAAAGACTAAAAATAATAGAATTAATAGAATGATTAGATTAGAAATAACAGAAATTAATAAAATTAAATTAAATAAAAATAACAGAAATATTAGAAAACTATAAAAGAAAATAACAGTAATAATAAAATTTGAAAAGGATTTAATGAAAATTACAGAAATTATAGGAAGGAAAAATTAGAAAAATACAGAAATTATAAAAGTAGAAAATCAGAAATTTTAGGATTTACAGAAATTAAAAATCAAGAAATTATAATAAGATTTACAAAAATATAATTTTATCAAAGAGGGAAGAAGTACGCGGGTCGTAGGCGAGTCCCATATCTATATCAGTCAATGACATGTCTGCGTCACATTTTAGTAAAACATCACTCAGCATAGGATTTATCTATTTAATAATCTTAAATCTTCTTCATACTCCAACTTGAAATCTAAGTCAAATCAACTAGCTGTTAATGAAGAATATTATTTAGAATTTTTTCTTAATCTTCTATTTCATTTTAAGATTACATTACCATATAACTATCTCTGATAATGATCCTCTTGATAATTATTTATTCTGATGGTTATATACTTTATTATACTAGTAAATAAAGGCCAAAAATTTTTCTCTTAAAGATGAAAAAAACAGAATAAATTAATAAAATCTCTCAAGCAACTGGAGGCATTTTCATGGTCGTCAAGTTTTGAAATTCTTTAATCATTCAAAAAATTTTTCAGATTTTGATCAGTCTTAATTGTTATGGAATACTGTTACATTTTAATTTAGTTTCGCCCAAAGAAACAAATTTTAGTTCATACATTGTCTTCGTTGAATTTGGTTAGTCCTTGTAGTTCAATTTTGAACAATGTTTTGTCTTCCTTCCTTTTGCATCATACAACTTAACCTCTTCCTTATCTCCTTTGCGATATTATCGCTTTCGCCACTTAACTTTATTATTTTTAACATTGTAAACTTTGTTTATGTTTAATTTCTGATTTTTTTTTATTTTTATTTTTATAATGTATTTACGTAGTTAGCATTTGTAGTGATTAGCATTTATCGAGTTTAATAGCGCTAATGTTGGGTAAATTTAACGCCATAATTACTTCAATATTCTTTAATAAATCCTTATGCTTACAAATACAATTTGTTTATAAATACATAAACGAAAGAACTGAATACAACAATACTAAAATGAGAAAAAGCAGTAAATGCAGTTTTTAAACTAACCTCCCGATTCATATTGTCATTTTGAAAAAAGTACCATAATTCTTATTAAATATTTATAATTAAAAAATGTTTCTAGAATAGTTTCTTTCATTAAATTGTTTTTTTTTTTCCTAGTAACGAATCCAAAAGACCGCTGAATGAAATTTTCTTTGATTTTTGTAGCATAAGGTCTGATCTGCAAAACAACAATTTAAACGAACCAATAACATTCTAGGAAATTATTTGGTGCCGAAATTTAAAATTTTTAAATAACATTCACGTTCAAAATCTATTTAAAGATGGTAAATTCTTGATCGCTTTACTGAATATATAGAATACCATGCACCGGATTCACATTCCCTCTTTATAATCTTTTTTCACGATGAAATGATCAGAATGAAAATCATGATATCAAATCAAAAATTCCAGCTGGAATTAAATCGAAATTAAAATCAAAATTTTTATGGATTCAATAAACTTAATAAATTAGAATAACGCAAAAAATGTTTTTATCGTCATATGATGGGAATTCATTAAATATTCTATTCACCGTTCCAATATATAAACAATTCCAATTTTTGTTTATCTCTTGACATATCTTTAAAGAAATAACATCTTTTACGAAATAGAAGCGCCCGTGTTATTCCGATAATAAAATCCCAATTTGTATTCTTTTTTTAAAAAAAAAAATTTTAAAATCAAAATCAAAATAAATATGATCTAGGAAATATTTTATTTTATTTTATTTTTTTTACTTGGCCGAACTATTTACAAAATCGTTCTCATTATTAATTTATAAAATTTGTGGGAGACGTTAAAATCACTCTTGCGTTATGTAAAGTCTATTTAAATTATGCTTCAGCCGACCATTTAAAGATTAACAATCACTCATTTACTTTAAAAGAAAAAATCTTCAATCTGGTAACGCAAAATTTGTCGGTAATTTCCCGATTGAGGAAATTTTGTTGAAAATTTTGTCCTTGAACAATTTCTTCATTTTGTTTATAATCTACCAGGATCTTTTTTTTTTTTTTCCTTTACTAGTTAAAAAAAAAGTTTCTCGTAATAAAGTAACATAAACCGGTTTTGGAAAATAGGAGTTTCGGCCGAGATCATCTCGTTCATCATAAGAAAAAATGTTAAATTAATAAATTATTAACGACAAGTTTTTTCGATGATGCATGCATATTCTTTCCCAATTAATCAATTTATAATAAAGGATTACCAAAACCGATTTGAAAATTCACGTGATTCTTTTACGCGTGTTCAAAATTGTTGGTTGTGTGTCACAAAGAAACATAATTCTTTAAACGGAATACAAACGAGCATGTGGATTTAATTTCTCATCTAAGAAGTCAACAATAAATTTATTTTTAATTTTTATTTACTTTTTTATGTCACTTTTGATTTTAATTCATTTTCCAAATCTAAAATTAACCTTTAATGCACCATTTGCAAAAATAAATTCGGCCGAATTTCAAAAAAAATAACATGAAGTAAACCATTAAAATAAAAATAAAAAAAGGATTAATAGTACGAATCAATTTGGGAATATCAACAAATCTATGCATAAAAGTGAAGGAAAGGAAAAAACGCCCACGCTTTTTTCGCATGAAATTGCTTGCTTATAACCTTATATCATTGAGCAACTCGGCCGAACAACAATTTAAAGGGTGGAATCTAGATCAAAAATGGAATTCGACAAACACTTCTGTAATGTTATTGTTTTCTTACAAATCTTCTTTACCAAATTCTTTTTTTTTTTTTTTGTGATACGTCGTAAAATAAATGACGCGTCCTTAAAATAATGTACATAAAAGTGGTTTATTTGTTTGACATGTACAATGCTCTTAAAAATCTTAACCAAAGACAAGTAAGTGCATTCGTTGTTACGGCCGAACGTTGTAAATCGATGAGCTAATCAATAAACGCGACCACCAAATCATAAATAATTTTAAGGTTGCAAGTCAGGTACAATGATTAAAAGGTTAGCTCCGTTCTTTATATGCAACATTACGGCCGAGTCAAATCATTAATAAAGTAAATTTAAAAGTAAAATAAACATTTAAAATCCGAGATTGTCATTTTGAATTGATTTTTGTATGTGATGATTTAAATGAGAAAAGAAATCTTTTATCACAAAGCCATTTGGCGTCATATAAAAGGTGGTGATCGATGTGGTTGAGTAAGAAAGTCAGAAGCCACATGCTTAAAAAATCATGCCACATTGAATCTGTGTGGCAATTTTTGAATTTATTGATAAAGTATAGGATAATCGAATCGATCGATTAAATTTTTTTCCTACAAAAAAGACATTCTTTACACGTGTATGTATATTCGATCATCGAAAATTTGCGCCAATCAATGATTTGGATCATCACATTAAATTAAATCCAATATAACAATATAGGTTGATTTCCCTTTAGCCCTTTAGCTATTCATATCTGAGAGTTATGACGAGAGAATTCAAATTGAACGTAAAAAAATTACAATTTGAAAGTTGCACTCAATATGCGAGTTTTTTAATGTTTGGCACAGTTCGAATATACAAAAGTTGCTCACATGACGCTAAAGACGACTACAAGGTATGTTTGACTGACATAAATCATGCGAATATTTCTTTAACGCTGGTATACATTACGTTAATCATGTGGCACAAGGCTAAAGAATAGCAATCAATCTTGCAAAAGAATGTTTAATAAATTATGAATACAAAGGTACAATAAAGATGTATCCCTTTGATAAAAAAAATGTTACAAACTCTAAATTCTATCAAGAATAAACTAGGGAGTGGATACCTCTTGTACCTCTTCCACAACATCAAGGTCGGTTTTTGATCTATAGAACCCTGAAGCATCGACATCATCATTTGATTCATTTGTGTCCTCAATTGAACCAGTAAATGATAAATCAGCAAAAACGGAAGAAACACCTGAAGCATAAATCACCGTCGGAGTTTTTGGTTTAACCGTAGTAGTTTTAACATTATTGGCATTTTGTATATCACCAATCGATTCATTTACTAAATTCGGATAATAAGTCGTATTATGAGTGCTTGTGGAATCTCTAAATAAAGTTGGCACTTTTTTTCTCGGAATATTTCGAGTAGTAACAGGGAGAATAGAAGTAGTTTTGTTACTATTAATGTCATTACCAATCTTGAGTTTGCGCCTCTTTATGTAAATAAGCAATAACGCTGTCAAAATAATAATCATCAAAAAGATACCTCCTACAATACTTAAAGTAAGAATAACTGACTTATCTTTCTCAATATTTGATGATGGGGAATTTGGTGTAACGTCAGTTGCAGGATTATCATAAATCACCCCTTCTTCAGGGTGACCAGCGGGATTATTATTATTTTCACCCAGCGTTGATGAAGTTGATGATGATGATGATGATGATGATTCAGGAGTTTTTTTAGCAGTGTTGAACGTAACAACTTTCTCCTTGTTAGAATTCCTTGGTGGTTGAATAATTCTTTCAAGGTTATCCGCGTTAATCGCTTCGATTGGATTGATTTCATCATTTTCATTAGTACTTTGACCAAAAGTAACAAATAAATGATCATCGTGCAAAATCGTGTTATGTCCAAATCTAGCAAATCCATTATAGTTGGATTGATCAGACTTTAAATTTTTCCAATCCCATTCATCAAGGTCCAGATAAAACAGATACGGAACGCTTGCTTTCTCATTTTTCAGGTTTATCCCACCGATTATAATGATTTTATTATCACATAATGTGACGGTGTGTCCGATCCTACCTTCGGGCAAATTCTTATCGGAAGTGGATCGAATGCTCCATTTACCATTTACTGTGTCGTAAATATTTAATTTGTTCATTTGTGATAATGTCAACTTATCTGAATCACCGAAATTTGCTCCGCCAATGAATACGATTTTACCATCCTTCAACAGGGTACAAGCTGACCCAAATACTCCGGGAGGCGCATCATCCGCAGTTTCTTCATTCCACCGTTTATCATTTGTGTCAATGGAATATAATTTATTATTGATCTTTCTTCCATCATTTGATATCCCTCCAAATAAATAAATCATCCCATCCTCCAAGTTTTGAGCATAACTTGCAAAAGATAAACGATTTGGTGGTGGTTTCCCTCGATATTTTGGATTCATGGTCCATTTTTTCGCATTAATATCGTACTCATAAATCTGCGATTCAACTTTAATTCTTTCATCGGTATTTGGAATAAAAGTCTCTCCCCCATAAATTATTATCGTGGAATAATCATCACGAGCTGACAAGGCTATCAAGTTATGCCTTAATCCTACTTTCATTGAATCAAGCAATTCCCATTTGTTCTCCCCCAATGATTCGGTATTAAAAGTGTCGTTGCTATTATTAAGATCCAGGGACGAAACGTCCAATGTGAACAATTCATTCGATATCTTTTGACTTGAATCGGACTTGTTGAATGTTTCACCGCCGAAAAAATATATTTTATCATTACTTAAAATCGATGTCAGGTCGCTTCTCATCTTGTTATAAAAGAAATTTCCATCTTGATACGACCGAGGTGGTGGTTGAGGTGATTGCGCATTTATAGCGTTAATAGTTATGATGATATTTAGAAGCGCTGCTCCTATTATCATGAATATTGCTTTTCTCATTATTCTTTGTTTGTAATATATCAATTGTTTGTAGAAATTCTATGCATTGTAAAAAGGAAAGGAAGGGTAATTTTTAATGATTATTTTTGGATGTTTCTATATCTAATCACACATGAAAAAAAAAAGGAAAACTTTTTTTGGATGAGAATGAAAAAAATATTGAATACATATATAAAAAGTCGTCGATAATTATTGGTGTAACCAAAATCAAACATTTCAATTTATTAATTCCTATTTTTGGAATGAATATCAATCGAAAAATTTCTATTTTCCAATAATATATTGATGAAACAAGACCAATTAGACACCCTGTCAATCGAGTCGATTTATATATATATATATATATTTTTGTTGTTTTCTTTCTTTTTTTTTTGAACAAGAAGGTATCTATAATTAACACACAAATCAAAAATTTATTCTGAATAACAAATCGTATTCTATTATTTAGGGTTCCGTTGTCCTTCAACATGTATTAAAAGAAACAATTAATTTTTTTTTTTGAAATTTAGTGTAAAATAAAAAAAAAATGCATTGAATCTGGATTGATAAAGAAAATGTTTGCAAACAAAAAAAAAAAATAACATTGGAAATTATTTCGGACATATTGCATATAATTTTATTTATTGGAAAGGAGAAAGTATCATCAAATATATTTTTTTAAAAGGATTTACTAAATTCCTTCATTCATTAATGTGAAGAAGGCCTAAAGTTGGAATTGTCTTTACATGGTTAACAAAGATTTGCGTTTGAATGATTGTGCAATATTTGTTCTTTTTTGAAGTTCCATTTGGTCTTAAAATAGGTTTCGTTTCGCCAAAGATCTTTTTATTTACCATTTGAATATTTGAATAAAACATGTTGTGAGAGGCACGTGATATTTTCACCCATTAGATGGCGTAGGGGGGGGGGGGGGGGGGGGATTCACAAAAAGGGTTTATTTTTGGACAAATAATCATCCATTTTTGGAAAATTTAATTTAAGGTGATAATTCTTCGGGTATTACTATTACCCATAGAATCCAAATTCCGTATGGAGTGTTTTTGAAAAATTTGCCATTCATAACATCATACGCCTTTAATATCACCTCCGCTTTTCCCAACACTGAACACTGGCCACCGCCAAATTTTTAAGGTTGTGCAACGTGGCAATTGGATCGATCTGTCCTAAAATCTTTGATTAGCCACACGGACATCAAAAAAGCAACACAATACACAATTGTTATCATATACATATACATATATACTCAAAAATGTCATTTATTGAAAGAAATCTTCATAATCAATCAATTGTGTTGTGCATTAATTGGGAAAGCGTAGAACGGAAATAATTAGATGGTGAAATCTCGGTCGCATACCAATTTGTTGCTTTATTTGACAGATTGTCCATTTTTGTTTCCCGATTTCCCTGTCAAAAATTGAGGAATTTTCCGGAATTCTATTTCTATTTTTATCTTGTCTTTCAAATTAATATTTCGCACTAGCCACGGCCTTTTGTTCAATCTATCCATTTAAAGATTCATCGTAAAAAGCAATTTCTTACATTTTAGCAAACAAATAGGCTATCTCGGTGTGACAATGTGACAAAAAAACATTATCGATTGTCGGCCGACTCCTATTTGTGCGTATATCACATCATTATTTTTATTTTATTACACACATTAATTTTATTTCGGATATCATAATACATTTCACATTTCACATATCCGGAAAATTTATAGTCTTAACCTTTGGAAGAAAAAAAAAAAATTGATATATATAGGACCCACAATTCCCTCGGAAGATTTAATTGTCAAATTTAATTTCTTTTTTTAAAAAATTCACAATAATAATAAATAATAAAATAATAGACAGTCATAAAAAAAATAACCTGTTTTTTTTATTTTTAATAACGCTAGCTAATAAAATTACAATAATACCATTACTTTTAAAAATTCAAAATACACTTACAATGATCGATTTTGTTTCGGGTACATCAACTTACGCTTTATCAAAAGTCATCGGATGGTTGATACTAGCGATATTCTTAAGGATTGTGTCAAGCATGATTCACAACGCGTTTATCAGCCCGTTAAAAGCAATTCCGGGTCCAATAATCAGTTCCGTATCATATTTGTTAATTGCCATAAGAAGGCCTAAAGGTCGTGTTTTTGAATGGTTTTACCAAATGCATCGTCAATACGGTAACGTCGTGAGAGTTGGTCCAAATCTCGTTTTATTCTCCAGTAAAGAGGCCGTAAGACAAATTCTTTATGACAACGTATGTACGAAATTTTCGAATTGAACGTTTCTTGCAAGTTATAAAAGATTGCAAATGTTAAAAATTTTTGAACCCTTTTTCATCTAATAGGAATTACCAAAACCTGACACCATCTCCGGAATTCGCACTGACCCGAACATCGCCACCCTATTCAGCGCAACGTAAGTGACAATTACAATGAATAGTCAAAGCATGAACATGTGACATGAACACGTGACTCACCAAAATTCCCTTTCTCTTGTTCTTCAACAGTGACCGAAAATTCCATAAGCAACGAAGATCTATGATAACGCCCTCATTCTCCATCAAGTTCATCGCATCCCTTGAGCCATTCATGCAATCATGTATACAAGCGCTTGTCAAAAATTTGAACACCGCCACATCACCCTCAAATAAGACTCGGTTCAATGAAAATGGATTACCGATCGTTAATATTTATCAATTGGTGCAAGCAACGACGTTAGATATTATCGGAGAGACAGCATTCGGTGGTTCATTTAATTTGATCGAAAATGGAGAGCATCCCCTTCCAGGAAAAGTTTTTCAAGAATTAAGACGACGTGTGCTAAATCATACCTTTCCTTATTTGAAACCATTCTTTAAGAATGATTTGTGGACCGATGAATTTATTCAACAGATCATAAGGGATCGTAAGGAGTTGAACGCTCAGGGAACAAGACGGGAAGACATCTTACAAACCTTGTTGGATGCACGTGACACGAAAACGAACGAGGGATTGTCGGAGTTTGAAATTCGGGATCAAACCCTGGAATTTTTAATTGCCGGTAGTGATACGGGCTCATTCACTATTAACATGGCGTTGATCATGTTACTTCATCATCCCGAGAAATTACGTAACCTTCGGAACGAATTGGATTCGGCCTTCCCTGCCGGATCACGTCAATCACCCGAACATAAAACGCTTAAAAACCTTCAATACCTTAATGCGGTTATCAATGAAATTTTACGTCTCTTCCCGGTGTCGATAGCGGGGATATTACGTCAGGCAACAGATGACATAATAATCGATGGATACCACATACCAAAAGGTACGAACGTTTCCGCATCAATTTACCAGATACATCATTCAAAAGAAATTTGGGGCGTGGATGCGGAAGAGTTTGTGCCTGAACGTTGGGTGAAGGGTGATCCCGTAGAATTAAAAAAATACATCTTCTCGTTTGGATCCGGATCAAGATTCTGTGTCGGATATAATTTTGCCATGATGGAAATGAGATTAATACTGGCTTCCTTATTATTGAATTTTGAATTTGAAATGGTTGAAAATCAAGATTTACAAATCGTTCATTTTATTACTCCGGCTTTAATAACCAAAAAGTTCGACGTTGGCGTTAGAGTTAGATGTTGAGACAATACTTTTTTTTTTTAATAATTTTCCTTCTTAAATATTTCAATGGTTTCTTTTTTTTTTCTTGAAACCTTGTATTATAGTTAATTTTTGTATCATATTTCCTATTTTTTAATTTACCAATTAATTCATTCGTCTGGGCCGAATATTTAATAAAGAATCAATAAATAATTTTTTCTCGTTTGAACACGTGATTTAGTCACCTGATTTTATCATCCCATTGAAATATCAAATGATTTCCGAAATTGGACAAGTTTTCTAAAAAGATTTCTCCCTAACAAAAATAAGTTCCCAAATTTGCTAAACAAGAAAGATGACCTCCAAAGATAAGCCCAACTTACGTACCAACAGAACTAAAGGTGACGCTACACAATTACCATCTAAACCTCCAAACGAATATAAAGATTGTTTATCTTGTCGTTTAATTGGTGCGGCTACATTTGGTGGTTTGGGAGTTTTTACCATTTATCAATCTTACATTCATTCCTTGATGAGTCGTGGTTATAGATGTGGATTGGTTTGCGTTGGATTCGGTAAAATTTGATATTATTATTATTATTATTAAAAGAATTCTTTTTTTTTCTCTTTTTTTTTTTTTTATGAACTTTTTTTTTTTTTTTTTTTTTTTTCCTTTATTTCAGGATTTTTACAAGTTGGATTGTATCGACTGTTACATTAATTAACTAAGCAAAATATAATATAATTTGAATTGAAATCTTGTTAACCAAAAAGATTTTGGATAGGGATCTCACAATTTACTCATCCTTACCAAACCCGGTTTCATTAATAAACATTTTGTACACCAAACATAATCATTTACCACACAATTTTTAATCATGGAACATTCTGAAAAATCAATCTCTTTTTTTTTTAATCCTCACTCCCTCCCTTTCTTTCTTTAACGCATTAACCTTTTTTAATCATGGAGGAATACGATCATTTATTATTAAATCAAACGACCATAGATGATGATAAATTATATTTCACATATCAACAACAGGGTTATTTAGGTATTCAAGCTTCAACGTTAAATGGAACGCTTCACATTCGTTACCCGACAAATTTACCTTTGATAGCCAAAAAAATCGATATCATATTCAGCGGAAGATCTTACGTTCAATGGAACGAAGGTACCATCATTAATTACGCCGAAAAGAAGCACTTTGAATACTCTTGTCGTGTGTATGACGGGGATGATGAGTTGGGATTAAGTTATTTGGATTTACCATTCGAATTTAAGATACCGGAGAATGCTCACTCTAGTATTTTACCGGTCACGTCAAAACTTACCAATCATCTAGGAAAGGCAAAGATTTATTATTCTATCAAGGCGGTCATCACAAAAGAAAGACGGAGTGAACTATTTTTAAAATTCAAGAAAACAAATAAGGAGGTGGAGATCAAATGTCCGATAACGAGATTTATTCGACAACGAGAAATCGAAAAGCAAGAATCCATTACGTTAACCAAAAAGGTGAATAGTGGGGATTATTCCATCACGTTCAACAAGGAAACTTTCAATCAATACGATATCATCAAGTTATCTCTCAATATCAAGAATATTAGTCGTAAAGTGATCAGGAATGTGAACAAGGCGAAGATTCAAATTAACTTTAATGAGTATTGTAAATTAAAGGTGGGATACAAGTCTCACTTGGTGGAGAAAAGGTTACTTCATAGAGTCATGAATGAGAATTTGGATCAAACGTATAAAGGTTTCGGTTTTGATATCGAATTATTTAAAGAATTTAATGTATATTTGAGTGAAAGTAAGGTTTGTTGTAGCGTGAAGACCGATTTGATTAACGTTTGGCACGTGGTTGAGATCATTGTATTCTTGAATGGCAAGAAACGAGTCAAATTTGAGAAAATCATTAACATCGTTAATGCCATTGATGAAATTTAGAAAGGAGACATCAAAGTTGTATATTTTTTCACTACTCTAAATATATATATACATGTAAATATCTTTTATTTCGCATAAATAAATATAAATCATTCCCGAAAAAAAATTTCAGGTTCCAAGAATCGAAAAGAATTAAAAAAAAAATTTTAAAACACTTTTTACTTTTTATAAACCGTACTAACATTTTAATGACACAATCACAGCCAAAGTTCTCGTTAAAGTATTACAAAATTGTAAAAATGTAATCATTGAGATGCATTGTTCCTAGATAATGATTGGTAAAACGGTAAAAAAAAAAAAAAAAATATTTATTATTTTTTGCTAAATTATTAACAATAAATGACGGACTAATTTAAGGTGCTTGCATAAAAAACTTTTAAAAATAGAATTTATTGCATTTCTTTGTAAATATAAAAGGTTATCATTTGCGAAAAAAAGGCCGTTTCTCTCTCAATTCATCTTCCACCATGACCACAGACATTACAATTACACAAAATCCTTTATTAGACGTACCGACCACCACACCTACCGATTTTACGTTATTATACAACCCAAATTGGGGATACCTTCATTGTAACACAAAAGCATATTTTCAGTCAACCAATCCAACCGACTTTCAACAAGGTTATTACGGTATAGAAAATACCGTTTTAAAAGGTTCATTTCACTTACGTTATTCCACAAATTCCCCGTTATGCGCGAATAAGATTGAGATGATCCTTGAGGGGAAGCAATGTGTTTCCTGGAAAGATGTTCATGGTAAAGAAATTCGCGGGGAAAAAATGTTGTGCAAACAAACAAAAATCATATGGGAATCTTTAAATAATGAATTTGAAGACATTCTCACAATGGATTTACCTTTTGAGTTCTCGTTACCGAATAATTTGCCCGCCACCATAACTCCACTTAACGTTAGCGGACACATTACTGGAGGTGTCGCGGGTGATGGATCGGAGGTCGGTCATATTACGTACAGTTTACGAGCGGAAATATCACGTCCCATGAATATCTTTAAATTACGAATGAATACAAAGAAGATCATTGACGTTTGGTGTAGGATACATAGGTGGAAATCCCCACCTTTGCACGATCGACCATTCAAGTGGAAAGGGAATGTCATGGGGATCGGTTATGAGGTGGAATTGGAGAAGACCTTATTTAATTATAAGGATATCATTAACATACCGATGAAATTCGTTGTCAATGATATAACGAACGTTAAAATCAAAAAAATTTATGTCAGGATTAAAGAGTATCATAAATTAAAGGTCAATGGCAAATCAAAAACGATCGGAGGGTTCGTCGTAGCCGATTCGGCGTTCGGTGAGCAAATGAGGAAGTCGACGACGACCACCTCGGGAAGGGACCATGATTATTTTATCAGGATGCAATTAAATTTGACCAAGACGAATCTAGGCAGGAAGTTAAATTGTTCAACGAAAACTGAATACATTGACATTCGACATAAATTAAAGGTGAAAATCACGCTAAATCCCTCATCAAAAAGCATTGAATTGGATAAGGAAATTTCCATCTTGAATGTTTTCGCCAAACGGGATCACCCTTGCTTCGCTCAACAATGTCGATTGATGAACACTTGGTTTTATCACCTTCAAGAAGAGAATTTATCGAAAGCTACGATGGGTGATGAAAGTTCAAATTTTGGTAAGGTGAGACAAAGATTTTCTTGGTTTGGTGGAATGAAGAATGGGAATGAACGATTTTCATTATTTAGTGGTAATAGGTGGAGCCACGCGTTTTAGAATTTACGCCTAGATCCGGTTGTTTTACCGGTTTTTTTTTAGAATTTTGTTTGATACCATAGATGGCCGTTTTGCCCGATTTGTATATTCTATTTGTCCTAAAATTCACTCATGCAGTGAGACAGAGACACTAAAAAGGACACATGATCAGATTTAATCAAACTTCAATAAGACAATTTTTGGTGTTCCCCTAAAAATAAATTTCTTTAATTAGACAAAATCACATTCGTGTAGTGGTAGCATATACTTTGGAAAAAAAAAAAAAAAAAAAAAAAAAAAAAAAGGTGGAAATTAATGAGGTTTATTAAAATGTTTTTATGAATGATCATTGTCATATAAAGATTACCTTTATTATTGAAAATCGAATAAAAGGAATGTTGAAAATGATGTGATATTATTTGTTTATGTCAAGAATTTCCCGGTATGATACAATGACGAAAGCTTTATTTAAATACATTCGTGTGTAACTGCCGATTGAAACTATAATTAATGTGCGCTTTTTTGAATTCAATTTTACATTTTTTTTTTTTTTCACACAGGACAGTCTCTCTCATTAACTTTTTTTTTTCCTCGTTTGACCAAATAAAAACAAGCCTTTTTTCGTCCCTTTGCCAAAATTTGACGTCATGAAGGATCATTTGGATTTATCGATATTCCCACCAAAATCACAATACAAACGTTCATGTAAAAATATATTTTTTTCATACTTGCCAAATAATACGAATTTTCAACAAGGATATTTGGGAGTTCAACAAACAAAGATAGCCGGAATCTTACATGTAAGAAGACCAATTACGAATCCATTATTAACGGATAAAATAGAAATTATATTCACCGGGAAGGAATTCGTCAAATGGAGTGAATTGGAAATGTGTAAAAACGTCAATAAGAAAATCATTGAACTTTCTTACGTTATTTGGGAATCATCGATTAAGGGAGTCTATCAAAAGATAACCGATTTGGACCTGCCCTTTGAAATCCCCTTGCCGGATGATCTGCCCGATTCCCTTTTCTTTAAACATCCCGTTAAGGCCCAAATATCTTATTCTTTAAAGGCGAAATTTTCCAAACCAACAAAATATTTTGGATTGAAATGCGGGGTGAAAAAAATTAGCATCTTATGTCCTATCACAAGGTGGAATCTACCCGTACGACCTACCCTACAACCAATTCCCATGAACGCTAGAAGTTCGATACCCCCTTCGGGGGGTGTGGAATATGTGGCCAATTTAGATCAAACGATTTTCGGGATTGGAAATTCCATCATAATTCCTATAGAGTTGATCTTGAAAAACATGAGGGTTTACGTTAAAAAAATCAAAATCTTTTTAAAAGAATATCATCAATTGATGAGAAAAAAGTTTATACATTACAATTCGGAAAAGGTTGTCAAATCTGAGGTGTATGGTGATCAATTGATGCTGGTTTCTGGTACCTTGAATCGATACGAGGTTAAAGCCGGTTTGGATTTGATCACGAAAAATAAAAGGAAACCGATTATGCCTTCGGTGCAATCGGATCATATCGTTGTTTGGCACAAGGTTAAGGTTAAGGTGATCTTATGCAACGCCCCAAAAATCAAGTTTGAGAAAGAAATTAGAATCGTAAATTCCTTGTGTGGGGAAGATGCTCTAATGATCACCGAGGAAAGGAGGAAATCCAATTGGAGTAATTGGAGTAAAATGGACAAATTATCCGCAAAAGCCGTTTATAATTTATCAATTAGCTAAATGAGGACCTCGGGGAGGATAAAAAAAGATTTTTTTTTTTTCTTTTTCTTTTTTTGGTAATCATCGCACTGTAATAATGATATGATATTAATATTTTATACATTGTATAGTAGTGTTATAGTAGTTTTAATTATTACTGGAAAATAAACTAAAAATCATTACTATTAAATTTTTCAAGATTAGTGCTTGATGCATATTGCAGCAGCACAGTCGAAATTTTTTTTGATGTTGTACATAAAATTTAACTAAACTATTTTCGGCGATGAGAAATCTATAAAATATGGCTATGTTGAATTTAATTGGTTTTCTTTTCATCTTTTTATTACATTTTTTTTGTCATTTATCGTTTTTTTTTTTTTTTGGATCATTAAGCGATATCCCTGGACCAAAGTTATTCTTTTTTCTTTCTTTCACAATTATTTATTTCGTTGAAACAATTATCAGGTCAAAGGTATCTTGTGGTTGTCGCGCGTCGTTTATTTTATTTGATTGTTTAATTACGTGTTAATGAACCGTTATTTTCGTAGTAAATACAAGGGGGTAGTAGTTCCTACTTATGGTCCTATAATGATTAATTTCACTTGGTATTTAATCAACGTAATAATTGTTAGTAATGATTTCAGATAAGGACGCTGTCAAAGAAGTATGTAATATTTTTTATCTTTTAATCGAAAATTATACTAATATTTGTTCCTAAAAAGATAATTACGGAATTGATCCAGATTTAACCATATTTGATTCATTACATTTCGTATGAATAAATAGACTTTTCACGAAAAAGATTTTTTATGTTAGAGGAAGAATGGACTTTAAAATGCTAATTTGTTCTCGGCAAGGAATTAATGGTTTCGTGTGTTGACGACTTAATTTATAAATTATACGACTATTTAAAGAAATCTGGTGATGCTGTCCTTAATATTGTTAATTTCGTACAAAAGTTACGCTGTGGTAGGTCATGTTTTTTTTTTTTTTTTTAAAGAAAAAAGTTTATTACAAGATATAAATTGCTTAGAATTCAAATTTTTTTTTTTTTATGCAGGATATTATTGGAAAAACTAATATTGGGTAAATTTCATAGTGTCGAAACTTTATCTCATCCATTTCCAGGAAAAGTAAAATTGGAACTACGAAGAAGAGTTTTGTATGTTTCACAAAAAAAAAAATAGAAGTGAAAGAAAAATCCGATTAATATTGGTCTCATTACTTTATTATATAACTAATATTTTTATTTCCATTTAGAGATCAATTTTCCTTTACTTCATTCAATTTTGAATATTGATCCATACTTGTGAAATGTATTACAGATAATATTAGATGCGTAGATATGGTCAAATGTCAGATTTTGAAATATTGGATCAAATATTAGAAATTTTAACTGCTGGAACTTACACAATTAGCTTTACCTCATAATTTTATTGCAAGAAATCCTGATAAATTCAAAGCGTTTCAAGAGGAATTGAACAATGCTTTGGAGAATGATAACGAGAAATTACCTATGTACTATTTACCTTATTTAAATGGTGTTATTAATGAAACTAATAGGTTATGGCCTGTTGTAATGGTATGTATATTGTTTAGATTTTAAAACTATTATTTGAAAGTTATTCATTTTTTTACGCGTAGGCGATTCTTTGTTTTAAACTTTTACAAAAAGTTACTAATAAATGTTTGGTTAACGTTATTATTTTTAGATGTCGGAAATTTCCTGCAGAAATTACGATTATTAAAGGATATACAATTCCTGCTAATGTGAGTATTTCTATGTAATAAATAGATGTAAGCTATATTGGTTATACACATATATATATTTATTTATTTTCTTAGACGAATTTAGTATTTAAATACCATCACGATCCAACCTATTGGTAGTAACAATGTACCGGTCAGTCAAAAAGAATACATCGTTTTCTCACCTCATCTCTATGTTGTATATTACTTTCAGAAGTGCGCATCGTCATGTTTATAATTATTTTAGAAACAGATTGTAGTTCCAGAAACGCTTTCGCGCATATGATATCGAACTAGCCTGAACAAAGTTTTGACGAAATTAAATTGGTTAACCAATTTGTCAGATCGTAAATATCTGCAACGTCAAAAAAAGTAATTTAAATCAGATACTAGTACTGGGAGATCTTTTCCTTCAGTCGAAGGAATCAAAAAGTGGTCGCCTAAGCAACTTGTTGATTTCTTAGAGTCTGAACATAAATTAGATCTTACGAATATTACTCGACGTCTTTCTTCTCTTGATAGAAGATGATCTCTATCGAATGGGATTTTCCTTTGGTACATTCATTAGCACAATTGGTTAAGGAAATTTCATAAACATCTTTAACAGATAGGCCACCTAATCTTGTATACGTATTTGTTGATAATTTAAACATCTTGATTGAGGGAAATTACACCGTTGGCAGCATCTACCTTGGATGTTGATAGAAGTTCCTATTACTTTAACCAGCTTCAGATTGACCACGGTAGGCTTCTAACCAAATTCAGAACGGACGTAAATTAGGCGGTGCTCGACCACCTCCTAACGATTCATTGTGGTCTCGCATTAAGGATCAAGGATTTGAGGTGAATGTTTTTGATCGGGACATCAAAAGTCGCCGTGAGAAGGAAAACTTGTGGCGTCAGCAATAAGAACAGTCTTGTTCAAAGATCCTGGTACTTAATTCTGATCGCTGGTGATAGATATTATAAACCTATATATCAAACATTGGAACTTAATCGGACTGTGGAGACATGGTTTTGGAATTTTAAGCCATGTGAATTATTAATTTGCTCTACTTGAAATATCCTGTTTTTTATAGGAATGTCTATTGAAAAAGATTAGATTTAGTACAAAAATATATGTAATATTCATATTTTTTTTAACTAAATATACTCATACGTTTGTAGTCTTAAACTAGGGAACTGGGACCGTTGTTAAGTCCGGAACTTTATCTAGACTTTTGTGCACTTTGCATAGAAATATATAGTTCTTCACTTCGTTCGATCCTCATATGGATTAGGACCTGGCCGCACTGAGATCTCTTGAGGTTATTGATGCCAACATATGGTTTAATGCTTTAAAGTTGTTCGGTTGGTGGGAATCGGAGAGTAAGGTCTTGCGATTTTACTTTAATAATTCGGAAACTTAGAGATGGTAAAAATTGGATCCTGAATAAATATCAGAAAGCACGGCTTCAGGAAAAAAAAAATTAAAAGAATAGTATCATCTTTTTTCTGAATAAAGTTTTAAGCATATGAAAGTTTTGCTCGGGCATAGTCAAACGAAAGGAAAACAGGTTGATTCGGATCCGGCAGTATATTAATAATATTAGCACGACAGGAATAATTTGACTATTGATTTAAGTGCTTTCATTATAATAAAGACTTTATACTCTTTCTTTGAATAAAATAAGAATTTATATGCCTTGTAAATCAATTGATGTTATTTTTAATGTGAATAATTTATTAAATCTGTCAATCTAGTCTACCTTACAGCTGAAATATTTAGAGATTTCGAGTTCATTATTATCGTTAAGGAAAGATAAGCACAAGAAATCCATTGATCTTTATTGTTACACGTTCTGCAATTACCTATTGATATCTTCTAGTATTTTCTTTACAGGTCTATAACTCGAATCATTTACGCTGTTCTGATTATAAAATTCCAAATTCGATTCTTAGGCTACAGATGATTACCATGAATATCAATAGGATTTATTTTGATTTGCATTTCTCAATTCAAATCAATAATATCATTGATTCAATTCGGAAATCCTAAGCAAAGAGCAATTTACCTGAAATAATTTTCCCAACGTGATGTGGGTATTATGTATGCTAATAGAACTTGATTAATCTCTAAAGGACTTGATCTATGGCATTTTGGAAAAAGTTTATACATCAAGAAGGAATTCGTCGCGATCACCGAAATGCGCATTTATCGGAAAAATACTTCCCCGCATCATAACCGTAGCAAATATCGAAACTTTCAAGCATATGTAGGGCCTTGCGATATTTGGAGTGCAGGGACGATGTCCATTATTATTTCATTTCGAAATTAATCTAACATAAGATCAGGACGTTTATAAATTATTAAATATTTCCGCCAATCATTTTTTTTTTATAGTAACTAATTATCTTTCCATTTTATGTATTTGATGATATGTCTACAAGATCTATTAAAGGCTTATAATATAATTGATATAAACATTTTTAAACTCATTTTTAAAAGGCTTAAAGTTCCAGAAAGATGTATCCTGCTTAATTAATCTATTTACTAATAGAAAAAATGTGTTTACAAAAGATAGCCTCTCTAATTATTATAATGTTAAAATTGGTATTGATTAAGAAAAGATTATCTCTCCATTACTCTGATGTATATACTTCGATCCCTTCCTATGTAAAATAGATAGATTAGGTAAAGGATACAAGTTTAGTTACTCTTAGATTATAGATGTTAGAACCATATTATTTTTAACATTAGCAACACAGGTTTGTTTCTTAGGTTATATGAATGATTTAAATTGAATTGCTTACTTAAAGAAGGAATTAGAAGATATTTTAGAAGTAGCTGATAAATTCTACTCTATTACCTATGCTGCTATTAATAAATTCAAATCTCAGCTTCTAACTAATACAATTACCTCTTCTACTCTCATTTCTATAAAATTTAGATCTAACATTATGAATTTGAAATCTGAATTAAATTCTATTTGCTTTCTTAAAGTTTGGATCAACATTTTTAATTTACCAAAGTTCATTAAATTATAGGCTAAAGATATAATTTCAACATATATGACAAATCCTAAAATTTAAACCTCTCATAGACAAATAAATCATATATATCTTCATTATGATACTTTTTCCATTATTAGAGTATTATCTTCAGATTACTTCACTTTCTTTTAAAAAATGTCATAATATTTCAACACCTATTAGAAAAATATTTAAACACAAATCCTCATTTACTATGTTTCTTCCTAACTTTTTAGTTAAAACTAGTATCTTTTAAAATTTAAATAACCTTTAAATTCAACAATTAAAATCCTTTTCTACATTACTTTTATATTAGTTCAACTCTTCTTCTCTATATAATAAGATTTCTAAGATTAGACTATTTCAATTACAATTAAAATATTACTTATATATTTATATATTTCTCTTCTATCATATTAGAATAGATCTTTTGACAAAAAATCACATAATAATTTAATTGAAGCAACACTTAGTTTGCTCAAATATAGAAATATTGATATATCTCTAATCACTTAGCTATTATTAACTAATGTTATTAAAAAAGAATCAGTTTTTTTAGCCTCTATCATACCACTTGATATTCTAGAAAAGAATAATCACATTTTGAATAAATATAATTTCTTCTTCTTAGATCAGTTTTTAGATAAAAAAAAGGAAAATTTCTTATTCAATTAGAGTGAAATTAATAATAAAAAGTTTACAATAATACAGTATTTTAATAAAGGATATAATACTCCAAACATTTATTTATATATAATTAATTTAGTATTAAATAGTATAAATAGAAAGAGGTGAAATCTAAGTATAAATTAGATAATATTAATGATAGTTATACAGATTAGATGATACACAAAGAAGGAAATACGTAGCTATTTATAACATTTATAAGAAACAAATCATTATCAAAAGAATAATCAAAAAATTTAATATGTAATACCAAATCATAATCTTACACTTTACTAAAGCAGACTATCACTCAGATTTAAGTACTCTTCTTAATAATAAATTCATTACATATTGCAGAGGTTACAATCTGAATAATCAAAATATCTTTAACATCTACAAAAAACTTTGTGGATTTCTTTTAACATCATATATTCAATTATATGATACTAATTTTACTATTATTATAAACCATTATACTAAAATCCACCCTATCAAAAAATTTTGTAATAAAGCATACAGTTGAAAATATATTGGTTTTATATGGGTTTTTTATAATAGAAAGGGTAAAAACTACCAAAAAAAATTTTTTTTGTTTTATAAATTAAATATTATTTTTAATAAAATAAGTTCAAATTTAACATTAACTCAAAAAAATTTTTTTTAGTAGTTTCTTCCTTTTCTGTTGCAAAGAGCCCATATATTTATCAGATCAATAATAAATTAGTATCTGAACATTATACTTCTTAACATCCAAATGATATAATTCACATTTCTTAACATTATTTGACTAACAATTAGATAATAAAATTCTTATAAAAAATTGTATCAAAGATCAACATTACTAAAAGGAGTTTATCAAATTATCACTTTATTTTACCAATCTTTCAACTCTCTCCTTCTATATTAATAGATCCTTACAAAATTCTTATTTTGTTAATTATAAAATAAATATTGGATAGATATGTCCTGATCTCTTATAGACTTTCTAAAATTATTTTTCATTGCTATTTTTAATTTATCATTATCAACTAGAACTGAATTGTTTGTATTTTTTTCAGCTGTAACTATTTATTTTTTATTATTAACATCTACTGTCTTCTTAGATAGTTAAACTGTAATAGATGGTTTCAATAAATTTATTATAAATAAAGACTTCATTATTAGAATAAGAGAAAAGATTCTTAACTATACAATTTGAATATTAATTCATCATATTATAAAAAAGTTATAGTTATCTGTATAACTTATTAAAGTTAAAGGATATTCTGAAAACTTATATAATGATAGTATTGATTTTTTAACTAAAATAAAATATTTTAAGCCCTCTTTTTAATAATTTATAAGTATACTTCGGTTATTAAAGCATTCCTTTAAAATTGTTGATAAGAAAATTTTGAAATATTTGAATGTAATTATATAGTTCTCTACTTTCTTAAACATTAACAGAAATTTCTTACTTATTATACAAACCAGATCTTCTTTAATAAACTGGTCTGTTTCTTTTAAACTCCTTTTCTCTAATAAAAATGTTACAATACTGCAATCACTTTAATGCAAAAAGAAAAAAATGTTCAAAAATTAAATTATTAATACAGTGCAAAATCTCTATAATAGAAATTTTAAAAAACATTAATAAAATTTAATCTACTGATTGGATTTTAATCAAATAAAAAAATGATTTATATTTGTAAAAATAAATTAATTTATAAAAAAAAGTTTTTTTTTTAATTTTATAAATCATGTAAACATTATATAATATATATAAGAGCCAATTCTTTTATAAGGACTAAAAAGGATTGGTAGTTATATTATGAAAGATCTTAATATATAAGTTATTCAATCTCAAAGGTATTGGAGTTAGTGATAGTTTTTAAAAATCTTTTGATTGTTGGATAATATCTTTCATTTTAAAGTGAATCATAGAACAAAGCCAAATGTGATAAAAATCTTCATTATTTGTATTACAATGTAAGCAAAAAGTTGAGGTAGGATATATAGTAGGATGTCTTTATTTGAGAACTTTAAATATAGGTAACATTTTAAGTAATCTAAGAAATTTCTTTTTTTTTTACATGAGAGGTAACATATAAAGTATAGTCAGACATTATATTATTATTAATAGAGAAAGTGATCGTGTTTCATTGAGAATAATAGAAAGTATTATACTTTAAAAGAATATTGAGGTTGATTAAGTTGAGGGTAGAATTAGATTTGAATTGCTTTTGATAAATCGTCTGATGGGTGGTAAAACTGGATAATTATCAAATTTGATAAAACATTTTGGTGCTTGAGAAGAGATAAGTCTAAGGGCGGTGAAGTTCAGATAATTTTTCACGAGAGAATTAACTTTATTGTTAAAGAGATCATTAGAGTGTACTTTGACTTTGACTATCTGAATTGAAAAGTTGTGATAAGATATTACTTTAAAGAAGCAAGATCAGTATATATAATTATTGATTTTGAGAAAGGATCTAAATGTTGAGAATTTAAAACAAGAGATATTGATATTGTTTAAATTGTGCTATAACTAAGGCAGAATCAGTAAAGATCTTAATTGAACAATTATAAGGGTTAACTAAGATAGCAGTAAATATTGCAGTGAATTTAGGTAATAAGGAGAAAGAAAATGCTGTAATAAAAGCTGATATAAAGAAAACCATTAGAGAGTTTTAATATATTTGTAACTAAGCCAAATCCATTCTGACAAAAGGAGGACCCATATTAATAAGTG